TAGAGTTACTATTAGCACGATAAATTTGCAATGCACTAACAAAATGAAATTAACTTCAAATGAGTAATTTGTTGAATATTAGCACAAAATCAAAACAGATTCTGTCATACAGCTCATTATGGCTGGATTCAAATTGTGATTAAATAGAAATTAATTGTATTATTATATTCTTACCTTATTTAGGATTAGCATTTATAGGGAGAATAATTACCCCTATTTCTTAGTGTAATTTATATTCTATAAATACTCATGTACTATGTTACAGAATAAAAGAAATAGAAAAAGCATATTTCTATATGGTATCAGGAGCAACAAGAATCCTTTAGGGTTTTTTTTTTTTGTTTTTGCTTCCGCTCTGTTTATCTTTTTTTACATCCCACAATGTATGATACCGAGTCCTCACTTTCACCCAAACATTCCTCACCCGAACCTAAATTAGTCTGAACGTACCATGAAAACCACCCTGTTCAGATCACAACAATTCGGCTGAACGGTGCTAATTATCTTCGATGGTCGCAATCCGTTCGTATGTATCTCAGGGGGAGAGGAAAGATTGGCTACATTACTGGCGACAAAAAACAACCAGACAAGGCAGGTGCAGATTATGATACATGGGATGCTGAAAACTCCATGGTCATGACATGGTTAGTCAACTCCATGGATGAAGAGATAGGTGCAAATTATCTCTGTTATGATACTGCAAAAGAACTTTGGGAAGGTGTCTCCCAAATGTACTCTGATTTGGAAAATCAATCCCAAATCTACGAATTAACTCTCAAATTGGGAGAAATTCGGCAAGGTGAAGATTCAGTCATCAAATACTTCAATTGTCTCAAACGTATTTGGCAAGATTTGGACCTTTTCAATGAGTATGAGTGGAAATCACCTGCCGATAGCAAACATTACAAGAAGATGGTGGATGTTAGTCGTGTTTTCAAGTTCCTTGCGGGTCTAAATGTTGATTTTGATGAGGTTCGTGGCCGAATTCTAGGCAGAAATCCTATCCCTCCAATTGGTGAAGTCTTTTCAGAAGTACGTCGCGAAGAGAGTCGTCGGCAAGTGATGCTTGGCAAAAATACAGCAGCTGTCCCTCCACCAGTTGAAGGATCTGCCTTGGCAATTCCCCATGTCAATCGTAAACCACTTCATAATCAACAAGGTGGAGACAAGACTCATTTATTTTGCGATTACTGTGGGCGCAATCGCCACACTCGGGAAACTTGCTACAAACTACATGGGCGACCAAATCATGGCAAGGCTGGTAAGTTTGGTGATCGTCCTATGCCTATGGCCAATGAGGCTGATTCGTCTCCATGTACGAAGGAGCAAATGGATAACCTTCTTAAGTTTCTAAAGTCCAATTCATCTCTTAATATCCCTACTGGAACTGTGGCACAAACAGGTAAGGATTCTTGGGCACTATCTGCTCACAACCACTCTAACCCTTGGATAATAGATTCAGGGGCATCTGAACACATGACTAATTGCTCTCATCTATTCAGTACCTATTTTCCTAGTTCAGGTTTTGAAAAAGTTAGGATAGCTGATGGTAGTTATTCAAGTATTGCAGGCAAAGGCAGCATAAAAATTTCAGAGCAAATCACTTTGCAATCTGTTTTACATGTTCCTAAATTCGCTTGTAATCTTCTATCTGTTCATAAATTGTCTAAGGACACTAATTGTTCTGTTCTTTTTCGTCCCTCTACTTGTGTTTTTCAGGACCAGAACTCGGGGAAGACGATTGGAACTACTAGAGAGATGAATGGATTGTACTACCTTGATGGAATTCAGTTTGGCAATAAAGCGTTTTTCGGTTCAAACAGTACAAACGCATCTCCTGTTTCAGATCAAATTATGTTATGGCATAAAAGATTAGGTCACCCTAGTTTTTCATATCTTAAGCATTTGTTTCCTATTTTTTCCAAAGAAATAAATTCCTCACAATTTCATTGTGAAGCTTGTCACTTAGCTAAAGATCATCGTGTGTCTTTTAAATCAAAAGCCTATTCTGCTTCTAAACCTTTTTATTTAATTCACAGTGATGTTTGGGGTCCTTCAAAAATTAAAACTATGTCTGGAAAAAAATGGTTTGTAACATTTATTGATGATCATACACGGCTGTGTTGGGTTTATCTCATGGAGAAAAAATCAGAAGTTGAACAAAGATTTCAAGATTTTTTTAACATGATTAACAATCAATTTCAAACTAAGATTGGCATTCTAAGGTCTGACAATGGCACTGAATATTTCAACAAATATTTAAGTACATCCCTTGTAACTAAGGGGATAATTCATCAATCCACTTGTCGCGATACTCCGCAGCAAAATGGTATTGCTGAAAGAAAAAATAGACATCTCCTCGAAGTCACTAGAGCTATTATGTTTTCTATGAATGTACCTAAGTATCTTTGGGGAAATGCTTTATTAACTGCTTGTCACCTCATCAATCGAATGCCATCTCGGGTGTTACAATATGAAAGTCCTGTACAAGTGTTACAAAACAATTTTCCTACATCTCGTATTATTACGGATCTTCCCCTTAAAATTTTTGGTTGTCTTTGTTATGTTTACATCCCCAATGTTTTTCGTTCTAAGTTGGATCCTAAAGCCGAAAAATGTGTTTTTCTTGGCTATGCTTCCAATAAAAAGGGATACAAATGTTTTAACCCAGTTACAAAGAAATTTTTTGAAAGCATGGATGTTCACTTTGTTGAAAATCAACCTTTTTTTAAAAATTCTCTTCAGGGGGAGAGTCAATGTAATAATAAAGAAGATAATTTTTGGGAAACTTTGCCTGCTCTAGATGATATTGTGACTACAAATCACCCAAATGCTAAGATAATAGAATCTGAAACAGGGGGAGAAACACTGATTAAGGATGATAATCCTGAACTTAAAGTGTATGTTCGAAAAAAATTCCACAAAGGTGGTGCAAACCCTATTGTCTCTCCAGTAGAAATCCAATCTGATTTACCAAGTGAAGGTCCTACAGATAATCTGTCTTCTAGTTCTTCATCTGGTAATCCTTCTTACTCATCCAATGATTTATCTGATTTGTCTTTTCCTGATATTAATCTTCCAATTTCTGTGAGAAAAAATATTCCTGACCTCGATGTCCCAATTGCTGAGAGGAAAGGTTCTCGTATGTGCACTAAACATCCTATGTCTAATTACTTGTCATATGACAAACTATCACACACCCATAAGGCATATGTGTCTAGGATTTCTAATTTGTTTGTGCCCAGAACTATTCAGGAAGCATTAAGTGATCCGAATTGGAAATTAGCAGTGAAAGAAGAGTGTAAGTGGGTCTTTACAGTGAAATGCAAGGCTGATGGAAGTGTGGAAAGATACAAAGCGAGATTAGTAGTAAAAGGATTTACTCAAACTCATGGTATTGATTACCAAGAGACTTTTGCCCCAGTTGCTAAGATCAATTCTATCAGAATTCTTCTTTCTCTTGCAGTAAATTTCAACTGGACACTATATCAATATGATGTTAAAAATGCCTTCTTGAATGGTGAATTACATGAAGAAGTATATATGAGTTTACCTCCTGGATTTGAAAAAAATCTTGGAAGAAACAAAGTATGCAGATTGAGAAAATCCCTATATGGATTGAAACAATCGCCAAGGGCCTGGTTTGAGAGATTTGGAAGTGTTGTTAAGAGACACGGTTTCACCCAAAGTCAAGCAGATCACACTATGTTCTTTAAACACTCATCTGAAGGTAAGATTGCTATCTTAATAGTGTATGTTGATGACATTATTATTACAGGAGATGACGTCAAAGCAATTAGTGATCTGAAGAGAAGACTTGAGGCTGAGTTCGATATCAAGGATCTTGGAAAGTTAAAATACTTTCTTGGGATGGAGTTCGCAAGATCTAAAGAAGGTATTTTTTCTCAACCAGCGCAAGTACATACTCGATTTACTTGCAGAAACAGGGATGACAGGGTCTAAAGCAGTAGAAACACCAATGGATCCCAATGTGAAACTAAAGTCAGTTGCTGAAGATGAAATAGTAGATAAAGAACGTTATCAACGATTGGCTGGAAGACTAATTTATTTGTCACATACAAGGCCAGATATAGCCTTTGCAGTGAGTGTAATAAGCCAATTTATGCATGCACCAGGTGCAGCCCACTTTGAAGCTATTTTCAGAATATTAAGATATTTGAAAGGTACTCCGGGAAAGGGGCTGATATTCAGAAATAGAGGACATATACAGGTTGAAGCCTATACAGATGCTGATTGGGCAGGTAATATAAATGATAGAAGGTCTACCTCAGGATATTGTACTTTTGTAGGTGGAAATCTAGTTACATGGAGGAGCAAAAAACAAAATGTTGTAGCCAGGAGCAGTGCAGAAGCTGAATTCCGATCTGTGGCCCATGGTTTTTGTGAAGTATTATGGATCAAAAAGTTCATGGAAGAATTGAAGTTCTTTGGCCCAACTCCAATTAAAGTTTACTGCGACAATAAGGCTGCTATTTCTATTGCCCATAATCCTGTCCTACATGACAGGACGAAGCATGTTGAAGTGGACAAGCATTTCATCAAAGAAAAAATTGACAGCGGTGAGATTTGTATGTCCTACATACCTACCAAAAGTCAAGTAGCAGATGTTCTCACAAAGAGTCTTCCAAAGAGACTGTTTGATAACATGGTGTGCAAGCTTGCTATGAACGATATATTCATGCCAGCTTGAGGGGGAGTGTTGAATATTAGCACAAAATCAAAACAGATTCTGTCATACAGCTCATTATGGCTGGATTCAAATTGTGATTAAATAGAAATTAATTGTATTATTATATTCTTACCTTATTTAGGATTAGCATTTATAGGGAGAATAATTACCCCTATTTCTTAGTGTAATTTATATTCTATAAATACTCATGTACTATGTTACAGAATAAAAGAAATAGAAAAAGCATATTTCTATATAATTATTATAACTAAGAATACTTATATAAATGTTAAATTAAAAGAGTCTATACTTACTTCTCAAACTTGGTTTTTAAATTTTGATGTTTAGTTGGTTCACCATTCAACGAATCCATGTAATATATCACCTCAGCATCGAGATTGATGACAAGTAGTACCCAATGTTTCCTGCAACACATATAATATTGCAATACACTCAGAACTTGGATACTTCACCTTCATTTGAAATACATATAATATTGATGCATACAATATACTTATATAGTTTTTTCTCATAAATTTAATAACATTTTGAATAGAAAACTCACCCTAGATTGCAAGGTGCAAGAATCATCTTATCCTTGAAGTACTCCTCATCTTTCAGAAGTATTTTTGCTATAGCATTTCCTAGATTATCCTCCCTTGATACATGTGGGGATATGAAGGAGAACTTATTTATTAATCCATTTGGACTGATAAACTTGTCATACAAATACCTAGAAATGAACAACAATAATTGGTATTAATATATTTGTCAACAATGTAAATATTAATATATTTGTCAGATTAGAGGAAATTTGTAATAATAGAGGTACCTGGAAAATACAGTGATAACAGAGGCAATTAACCAATTGTGATCAAGAATCTCTTTTATACTCTCTACACGTAGATGCTCTATAAACTCCTCACCAAATATACTTTCCTCCATTTTTATTTGAATTAACGATCCAACCCTCATCATCTTTTTCACATACATATCAAGGAAAGGTAAATTTACAAGATTGGTTGAACCGCCAACTCTAGGAGACTCTTCAATTTTGAATTTTATGTTGCTTTTGTTAGGTGACGAAACAAAATCAACACTTCGTTGGGTATTCTTAACTTTGTTTTGGGATTGATCAGGATTCTAAAAAGTTTTATTAATTAAGGTTAGTGATCAAATAATAAAACAAATAACGATCAAGCAAGTTAATAATAAGTAATTTACCTTTTCACGTTCAGCAACAAATTCAAGAAGGTTCATTGGCCATGGCACAATTGTTCCTATTGCCTGACCAACCATCGATACATCACCACCTTCAACAGATATAGGCAATTGAGCATTTGGCACAATAGCAACTTCGATATTAACCTTGACATATCCAGGTGGTAACGTCATGCCGTGCATTGTGTTACCTTTGGTGTTATATAGTTTGCCACGAGCAACCAAACACCGACTCGGGGATGATAAATATATATTAACAGGAAGGAGACCCTGCAATGAGATACGAATAAAAACATTAATATCATTATTTACAAAACAAACATATATGAACTGCTTTGACTGTACTGATACTGACTGTACCGACACAAAGATCATTTTTCTATTGTCAAAAGATTTTCTTCTGAAATCATGGTTTTTCATATCTATCTTGGCCCATATGTTCTGATACCAATTAGATATATTGTAATTGCATTTATCTTCTTCCATTAGATCCCAGTTTAAGTAGTATAGCATGGTTATGTTAACATGTGCAGTGGAAGTGAGTGATGTTTGTGAGTATATCGAGTGCCATGTGAGTATGTGAGTATATCACCACCATATCGGACATGCTAATGCCGTTAGACGTGATGCTTGTCCTGGACAGAAAGTTGGGCTTATTGTTGAACTGGGGAACTTAGATGGAAGGCTGCCGCTACCGTTTCCAAGGCTGACTGATAATTGAAGATATTTTGAGGGTTTTGTTTCAGTGTTAGATTTTGGAATTTTGTTAGTTTTCCTGTTTGTTCAAAATTGGTTGGTTGGGTTATTTGTTCAAAATAGCTCTGAATAAAAACAGAGACCCTAAACCAATGAGATACAAATAAAAACATTAATATCATTATTTACAAAATAAACATATATGAACTGCTTTGAATTACCTCGGGAATATTACCAAATGATCCAGGGTTGCAAGAACCTTTATCACTTAACTCTTGCCTCTGTGTCCCTTTTTTAGGCTGTTGCAAGCTCTTTGAAACTTGTTCAGGTTGTTGCCTCTCTACCACATCTTCAAGTTGTTGCAGGCCCTGTGTCCCTTTTTCAGGCTGTTGCAAGTTGTTTGACACTTGTTCAGGTTGTTCTTTCTCGGCCACTTCTTCGGTTTTTTGCCTCTCTATCTTCTCTCTATCCAACTTATCTCTCTCCAGCTTCTCTCTCTCTAGCACCTCCAATCTACTTTTGAGTGTGTTGCAAAAGCCATATAATCTTTGAAAGTCCATTTGTGTGGGGCGAATTTGGCGTGGAAATATTTCCCTAGAACATACCCCAAAACCGTAACTCCTAATACGCCCATAGTAGTTTGGGAGATTTAGAGCCTAGAATAATATGTCCGTAGGACCAAGGTCTTGTCTCTCTTCTTCAGTTATAGCTTCTGTTAACTTCTCCTGACATCGATAAGTATAAAAGACTTGTTAAAGGAAAATCAATTTGAACACTTTCATTAAAATTAACCGAGATCCAAAATATTTTCAATGATCCAAAATATTAACATTCGCCTTACACATTTATCCACAACTCTTTGAACATTCTCATTATCAATCACCCCATTCTTATTGACGCGGGCAGCCTTCCACACTTGACTGTGATTTATCTCATCTTCTCCCGACTCTTCTACCTGTATATACATTTTGAAAAATTAACATAGCAATTAAAAAAATAATTTATAATCTTGTACACTACTTTTATACACATACTTACCATATCAGCTTCAAGACGAGCACACCCTAAACGTGACTTTCTATAGGGATGTTGAGGATTTAACGCTCTTTCTCGATTTTCAATACTTACTTTCTGCATTAAAAGCACTATAAGACATTAGTAGTAGTTGTCGCTTGCGCGAAAATAAGGTGCCGGCATGATAGAAGAGTCGCCACCTTTCGTTATTTATCCCTCAGAGCGGGAAAGGAAACGATCGGAAAAACCTGACGAATAAGGGTAAGACAAGGTCATCGCAACCATTGTCTGGGTTCGGGAGTTGGTTACGCAAGGGGAAGGTGTTAGCACCCCTCACGTCCGTCGTACTCGACGGGATCCTCGCTTGTTTGTTTACTTGGACGGGTTGGTTTTATTCTATCTACCTATCAAGGCTGGCTGAAAAAGAAAAGAAAAATGACTCGGCAAAGCGTCGCACTTTATGCCTACGTATTCTCATCAGAGAACGAGAAATCAGAGTCAACGTAGTTCGCCTAACTACGGGGGAAGGTGGGTGAAGGTTGCTTGCTAGGACGTCGCATCCTATGCCTACGTACTTCCACACTGTATGGAAGATCAGAGCAAACGTAGTTTGGGAAACTACGGGTTATCTCCTGAAAGAAGTGTCTTTTATTGTGTTTGCAATCTCTACCGCACTAGAGACTATGACCTGAGAGTGAATGCGTCGCATGTCACCCAAAGGGTACCATACTAAACATCCATCCTCAGATGGCTTAAGGCTCGTAACGTACGAAAGAAATCATTCATGATTACTGTATTTTAAACTGCTTCGAGATGAGAAGAGAACAGGCCTAACTAGGAGGGAGACTATCAAGTCCTACTGTTGTCATGTCATGGATTCATCCTATGGTTGAGGTTTGAACAGGGAACTCCTAGAAGTTGTCATGCATAGGTTTCAACCTAAAATTCTATCATCATATCCTTATCAAAGGAAATGAGAGTCCTAAGGGATTATGTCAATGATACACCAAAACAGACAAAAGCATCAGCTTTAACAGTAAAATGCATGCAATGCAAGTGAGGGAGGAAATGTGTGTGGGGCTTCAGCCTCCACAAGCTCATCTCAACCTCAAGTCAGTCATGAAATAACAGTAATCATACTGAAAACTAAACAACATGCTATCAAGCAATATACGGTAAACTGCAATCATACAGATAAAAGAGATGAAATGCCATCAGGCAGACAAACCACATGCTTGAGAAAGAATCATCTACTCTCTAATCCTAACCCTAACACAGAATCTTGATCAAATCTAAGCAAAGCCCTAAAGAAAAACCTAACCAAAAGAAATCAATCCCAGTCTTCAAGCTTCAGAACAAGCTTACCAAAGAAAGGGAGCTAAGTAAGCAGACTCATAGTGTCTTCCTCAGGAAAGCACTAGGAGGCTTATACTCAGGAATCATATCCTATGTGGCTCAACCACTGTGATCAGTTTACATTCCTCCTCAGGAGAAACTAAACTCACAAGCAGGCTCCAACATCACTGGATATTTAGGAAGTCCTATCTGAACTAGTGGAACTAAGTGAATAGACCCATAGGACCTTCCTCAGGAAAGTACTAGGAGGCTTCCACTTAGGAATCGTATCCCATGTGGCTCAACAACATGTGATCAGTTTACATTCCTCCTCAGGAGAAATTAAACTCACATGTTGGCTCCAACATCATTGGATACTTGAGAAATCCTAGATAAACTAATGGAACTAAATGAACAGACTCATAGGACCTTCCTCAGGAAAGTACTAGGAGGCTTCCACTTAGGAGTTGTATCCCATGTGGCTCAACAACATGTGATCAATTTACATTCCTCCTCAGGAGAAATTAAACTCACAAGTTGGCTCCAACATCATTGGATACTTAAGAAAAAGGTGAGAAGAAAGAATAAAAATCATTCATAGTGCCTTCCTCAGGAAAGTACCATGAACTTCCTTCACACTTCAGGATCTCAAACCTCACAGACAGGGAATAATCCCCAAGCTCTGGGTCTCTGAGTCTTGATCTACAATCTTCTCTCCCATCATGCTCTTCAACAAGATCTTCAAAACAAACTAAGCCCCACAACAAACTCCCCAAAATAAACCCCAGAGATGAACAGATAACCACAGAACAGACAAAATCATCAGTCAACTTCAGAAAATATCTAAAAATACTAAAACTAGGGGGAAAAATCTAACAATCAATCATAAGGGTCTACAACATCTACCCATAACATCCACATATGCCCCTACCCAAGAATCAAGACAAAACTATCTAAAGAAAATGAATTTCCTTACCTATGCACAACCTAAACCCTAATTAGGATACCCTAATGCTAACCTAATTAAACTAATCAAATTTTAATCTAAAAATCAAGAATTAAATCCTATGGGGAACTATGATTCAATATCTAATTACACAAAAAAGAATGAATCAAAAAATCCTAAGGGAAAGTCTTGAAATAAATTCTATAAAATTGGATATCAAACTAAACATATTAAAAAGCTATTAAAATGAAAAATATACTAAAAATATGAAAAGAAAATAAAATGGAAATTTTATTTATTTATATTTTTCTAGACAAATTCACTAACCTATAGAAAAAACAAGAATTGAAAAATATTTAATTTTGGATTTTTTATGGATTTATTAAAGTGCAAGAAAATTAAAGGAATATAAAAAAATAAAAGAAATCAAATAAAGGGGAGGGGGTGAGAAAAGCAAGGCACGCTAGTTAAATTCCATATGGGCTGAATCAGGGGGGGTGTGGATAGAAGCGAAGGTCTGCTGAGCCCATGGTCTTCCACTTATCCAAACGGCAGCGTTTGGCATCTGAATTTCCCTCCGCTTTCTTCATTCAACTGGGACCGTTGGATTAGAGTAATAGGTCAAGAATTTCAGAAAGATCCAACGGATGCCAGTCATCGTCCCAAAACACTTAGGGTTTTCAGAAATCGTGCCTCCATGCAAGGACTTCTCCTGGCTCGTTCTCTCTCCACACTCGACGAAACTCAAAAATTCCAAAAAGGAAAATGACCTACTGATTAAGAGGAACAAGGCTATACGTGTAATTTTCTCTAGTTCTCTTTGAATCATTCAAACAGAAAGCTCGAAACCTTGGTGCCACCATGATTGCACTGAGATCAACCTTATCAAAACTCTCAATTAATGACTCAATCTTGTTCTTTATATTATCCTAACCATTCTAATCTAATCTATGCTAACTAAAACTCACTACAAAGCTTGTTCTTGGAGATTAAAGAATCTTGCACCTGTTATAAAACCTCACACAGAGCTCTCAAACTCAAGGAAACAGCTCAACTCACCTAGCACATTAATCCTATACCTAGAAATTTAACTGAAAATGTATAATTAAGGAGATCCATGGAGGAAAACCAATCTGTCAAAGAGAGATGGTGAGTGCTCGTGGAAATGGTTTCAGGGCTTGTCATGGCCTCAAGATGATCCTTTGACGGTGAACAACCTTCTGTTTGCACTGGTTTTGAAGGAGAGGTCTTGTGATGGAAGAAATCTCAAGTTGCTTGATCTTGAAGGAAGCTCTTCAATGGCAATGTCTCTCTCTCTCTCTCTCCTCTGAAAACTCTCTTCCTGACCAACCCTCAATACCTTGTGGATCACTCTTCTTATAGTGATGGATGGAAACAACCAGATTCTTCTAGAATGAGCTAGAAAGTGCTTGAAAATCTCATGTGATGATAAGTGGTATATCTCATATCTCATGCTTGAAAAGCTCTTCAATGCAAGTTTCAATATTACAAAGCATGTCCCATTTTAAAGCCTCAAATGAAAATTGTGTTTAAACCAATGTTTTTAGAATGATGTTTCCAATCAAAATGATATATTGGATGACCTATTTTGGATTCCTAGATCTTCCAAACCAATTTTCACTTTCAACTTTTTAACTTATAAGCCATTTTTAGTTCAAATTTACCAAACTTTGTCATTCCATGCTATGAGCTTTTCCAACAATTCATGACCTTCTTTCTAGGCTTAAAATGCCATTATGAACAACTTTCATGTTTTGAGTTTTTCCATTTGAGGCTTGGAAATAGGAGATATGGCCTTTCCTTAAAATGACCTATAACTGCCAAATGACCAAAATACCCCTGTCTTGTTCAAACCATAAGTTGAGTTCCACAAATCCTATCAAGGACTTCTACCACTCAAATTAAAGCTAAGAATATGATATTCAACATTCATGTTGACCAAGAGATCATAGGAATCATCCTACTAGGGCAAAAGTTGTCTGCAAGTTGGGTGACTTTCAAGGACCCAGATTCACACACCTCAGCTGACCTGTAATTTGTCAAAACCATAACTTGAGCTCTGCAACTCCTATCAAGGACTTCCACCACTCAAATTAAATCTAAGAACAAGCTCCACAACATTCATGTTGTGGGGAAGATGAGATATCAATCACATCTAGAGCTAAAACTGCCAGGAAGATAGGGATCAAATTAGGGTTTTTTCACTGACAATCCTCAGAAACCCTAACTTGAAACTTCTCAAACTCCTCAATCAGGATGAGTTGGTCTAGGAATCATCTTTATAACATTTCTATGCATCATTCCATGATCTCATGGCCCTTGGATTAGGTCTCAACCTTCTCCAAATCTTCAGTTAATCTAGGGTTGACCCAGTCAAAACCCTAATGGCTGAATCTTCTGAATTCTTGCATAATGACCTCTCTGGGCTTCATGATGGCTATCAAGACATCTCATAAACTTTCTCAAAACATCAAGTTCATTCTCAAAGTCTCAGAATCATCTGAGGAGTACCCACGACTCTCAAGCTATGAGGCGCACAACCTTGGCTTCAACCAATTCCACTGATGAAGGTATCAAACTTCAAACACTTGATGGATAAATAAATGTTGGTCAAATTTTGGGGTGCAACAGCTGCCCCTATTCAAACGGCTTGAACCTGACTGGGTTTGAAGCGAACGGCTCTCAACCAATCAAGGTGCGAGACGATTGAATACCGGTAAACCCGAAAATTTGCCAACTGCTCAACTCGTCGAACACTGGAATAATAGCTGCACGACAACTATCTGGAGAAATACTGATCTGACATCGCCGTCAGTCATCC